GCCTCTGGCTTAAAGAGCTACTTCTCTCTTTATCTTTCATCAAATGATGTCAGGTGATAGTATGGAAGGATGAATGGACCAATGTCTTGCTGAATCTTCTTCCAGTTGGTACCCTCGCCATCAATTCGTCCTTCTACTAATCACAGTCATGAAACTGACTGACGACCAGTAGTATGCTCTGAAAACGGTGGCATTCTGCATCAAGCCTGGAATCGTAACCATACATAAATATACATTCATACATATTCCTCTTACATACACTAGTACCTACGTCTGATATAGACAGACACATTCGTACCTACCTTATTTCTCTGGGTCTCCGTTATAAAACGGAGATTATCATACAACCCCGGAGCTCCCCTTCCTTGGATTCAAGACCCTTCTCGGAAGCGTGGGATATTAAACATCTAAATATCTGTCTACGCAACAAGCAACGAATCGGTATCATCCTATGGGGGGTAGGCATCTGGGGAGTTATTCCTGGAGTAATCTGTGGCGGAACCTCCCACACCCAACAGTATGGGGGAAAGAAAGTTCAGTTGGATGGAACTAGTGGCGCCTCTTCTTACTCTACATAACGTTTGGCTAAGGATGGCTGGCTGAATTCTCGACTGAATGAACCTATTCTTTCTTATGGGCTGCTTGACATTGATCTGGCTGACGACGCGCGGTCGGGGTACGGTTTGATGTCAATGCCGGCCTGCCTAGCTAGCTCATGCCCAATCGTCAAATGAAGCCCCATTTCCTTTCATCCCCCTTCACTCGAAGCTTCTTCTAGCTAAGGCAAGGCAATTACTTTAATAATTGAGATCATCCCTCCCTGGCCTGGAACAGGTGAGGACGGAGGGTGCCCGGAGTGAAATTGTGGAGAAACCCACCCCTAAAATCCGAAAATGAGACTAGTGGGGAAAGCGCAATTTTACCACAAATATCTTTATCTGAGATTAAGACCACGAGTACCTAAGGGGGATTGCTATCTGATCCGGGATCGAGTCGAGGCTTGCAGACTAACCGATACCCCGAATGCTTGTTATGATAACTGCCTATCCAATATCGATACGCATAGCGAGGATTTGTTCTTTATTACTTGAATTCCTTGCTACTACCTACATATGTAGGTATCTCTTTGGGCATTTTTGTACAAGGGTCCGGTCATGCTTTATTCAATTGATTTAAGAATTCGTCTTCTGTTCAATCGGATGGATGGGAGTTCTTGCGCAGGGTTCGATACCTGCAAGACAGTTTTACTCATTACATCACGCGAATAAGGCGTCTGGCCGGGAGAACGGTCCTGGTCCACAAAGAAGCCAGAGATCTAGACAGATTGTAAGACACGCCGCCCATCACATCGGTCGGTAGGTAAAAATAAGAAGAAGCTTAAAAGATACACATGTGCCATTCCGAGGTTCGGAATGTCCGGTGGTCTGCTTGCAGTTTACGTTTACTACACACTTTACGCGCGCGCGGTGCACTGAGGCGGCAACCAAACGAATGATGCTCAGTCATGAGAGGGATTGCGTCTCAAGTACAGCCGCTGCCCTCGTCAGCTGAATAAAGCCCATAAACCATCACGATCCTCATGTATGTACTCTATACAGAGAGGCGACCTACATGAAATACCCGTGTCTCCCGATCTTCCAATAAATGGAAGTACCGGCACTGATGCATCGTCCTTTCAAAGCAAAAAATGTACCCTGCCGCGCTGCGGAATGACGGCGGAGGCTGTTCTCGGTACCAAGTAATCATATGGGTATCCCAATTCGCTCGCAGACAGATTCTGAACGGTGAACTCAGATCTAGAGTATCGGATTCATCATCATCACCAATCTGCACGAGACCCTTTATTCGGTTCCACATCATCGCAGAGTACGCCGCGCCGCGGGCAAGCTCCCTCCTCGGACTCTTGTGGCGCCGATTAAGCTATCAGAAAATCATTTGTGAAGCAGCAAGGTTTAGTTAACTTTGAAAGATATGAGACACAACTATACCAACTCCACTACACTGCGCACCTCCTCCACCAAAGCAAGAAAAACACAAATCATCATAAGTGGGGCGGATACAACACTCAATTGCCAAAGTGTAATTTGAAACCTCCAAGGCAACCCAACCCAATTCAAGACAAGGGAGAGAAAAATAGCCTTCTTGGGGGAAAATCGCCGAGGTGGAACAGTTCTTAATTGCACAAGCTTCTTGGAGATCTTGGAATCGATGGAAGGTCCCGGGCGGAAAATGTGAGGACAGGTTCCGGAGTTCGTTCCTTTCCCTTCCTCCCCCCCCACGGCAGTGTTAATTACGTACTGTATCATGTATGCCGTGATTTTTAAGTTCTAACTGAGGCTTCGACAGACGCAAAGAACAAAGATTGGCACCCGCCGCCGAGCACACTGCAAGGCTGAGCAGATAGAAAAAGAGCCGAACCTTAGTAAGTGGAATGCCAGATTCCAGCATATGATGGAGTGCCAACGTGCTCATATTGTTAATATGGACGAAGGGGAGGTTTAATTTTTAGATGATCCCTTCAAATAATCTTTCCTGTTTGCCCGGTCATTTTTCTAAAAAAAAAAAAAAAAAAACAAGAAGGTGGGTGTTGCTCAGGAACGCACGGGACTTTTACCATAAAAAGCAAAAAATAAGCTCAGAAAAAACTCAAATTTCACCTCCATCCCTATCTCCGCTCCGCCGCTCAACTTAGCCAAGACAAAAGAGGCCAAGCCTCTCCTCCTCCAAGCCCACCACAAACCCACTTTACCCGATAAACTGCAGTTTTCCCTGGGTTACACTTCCACTTCCAAGGTTCCAAGGTAAGGGAGTAGAGAAAAACTTGCTCTTTCATTCTCTTTAGATTATGTATTATTCGAGCGAACGAACGACGCGCTGTCTAAAATAAAGCATGAAACACGCATGATGATCCGATCTGCAACATCCACCTCATACATACGCTTCTTTCTTTCTCCGTCCATAACGTTGCCTTTTTCCTCACCGGGGAGTGGAAGGGGAAGTGAACTTAAGGAGGAAGGGTCACTCGGCTTAGCGAGGTTTTCGTACCCGAGCGGCAACATCAGCCGGTGAGCTTAAACTTGAGATTCATAGCGTGGCGGCAGGTTTCACACGCGCCCTGATCTGTATCTGTATCTGTATGCGAGTAAGGTACAGGTATGTGGTACTACTACTAACACTTTATCTTGAGATGTGAAGAGAAGAAGAGAGAGCACATAACTCATGGTGCAATAGAGTGTAAGCTACACAACCTAGGCATAGGTACGCGTCACCGCGCAGGGGTGGTGGTATGGAAGAAGCTCCTTTCCCTTTTCCTATTCCTCTTCCCCCCCTTCCCCTTCTTACCCTAGAGTAAGAGCCTATTCTGTTTCAAAGGCACAACGAAAGGAAAGGAAGGGAAGCCCTGAAACTGAAACTGCCGACGATCCGAGGAGAGAGGATGGGAATGGAAGGGGACGAAGAGTACGAAAGAGGACACGAAGAGAGATCCGACTGGGTTTGGGGGAGTAAGAGTGGGACCTCGGAGGGGAGGGGTCTTACATCAGCGTAGGGATCCTTCCTTCCTTCCTTCCTTCCTTCCTTCCTTCTTTCCTTCTTTCACAATATCGTCATTCTTTAACATTGTTCCTTCCCACCCTTTGTAGGTCGCTGATGTGATCAAGGCCTTTCCTTGCGTACATGTTGGCACATGTGAGTGAGAGAGGAACCTTCAACCTTTCATTTTTTTTTAGAGTAGACGTACTTCCCAAGTAAGAAGATTAGGTTTAGCTGGAAAGAGAAAGCTTAACCCCGCTATGTACTGCATGCACCTCAGCTGTTGACTGCACTCCCTTGTCGCCACGAGGCGGTAAACTCCGTCCTAGTAAAGAAGGTAGGAAACTCTACTAACTTCTTAATAACAGCAGAGCAGAGAGCAGCAGAAGCATCAATCTTACGGTCAACTCCCTGCGTCAAATATGGCTCTACATGTAATTATGATGTACCTATCGTACGGTACAAACAGCTAGCCTAACCTAACCTCTTTATTTTCATAAGGGGTGTCCCATATAAATATAAACAACATTCAAACAAACCAACTATATCAGACTGCTTACGCGTCTCTGCCCGATGCAACAAAGCAAAGCAAATCCAAACATAAGGTAAAAGGGAACAGAAAATGGAAAAAGAAAAGAAAGGGAAGAAAAAAATTAAAATGCGGCGGAAGATCCGAGAAAGGTGTGCATCGTTCAGAACAAGAGTAAGTGAGCGAGTGAGCGAGGGCTTGATGTTCCGAGTTCCGAGAGCGGTGATAAGGTAAGCATACATAAGAGCTTATCCTAACCTAACTCAACTCTTTCCTCGCTTCGAGCGGCAAGTTCCTTTTAAATTGTTTTTGGAGCTCATCATCTCCGGCGAATTTTACATTTTAGAGCTCTCTCGCTCGAGAGAGGTGTAACCGTTGTACTCTTCGCCCCCAAAGGAGAGCGTGGTCTCTTCATGTATGTAGCTAACCTCTTCTTGCAATCCACAGTCCATAATTCCAGAGTGCAGTACAGTAGAGAGAACTGTCACTTACACCTCACCTTTCGATATACCCAGCCTACCTACATAGCTACATCCTACTCATGATACCGATACTTTTTTTTAAATTTACTTTATTTACCGCCTTGCACAGCTGCTACATGAGCTACATGTAACTGCCATTTCAACTCCTGCTGCTCCTACCCACAAACTGCTACTGTTGGCCGTGCTGTTACCGCTGCTATGGTTAATCATGAGTGATGTTCCTGATATGCCTGCCCTAGCTGCCCGTCTCCGGATAATAAACCGAGACCCCCCCGCCCCCATCATACATACGCAGCATACGTTACCTACCCTACATCTACTATGTATGTACTTTACATACTCTAGGCCCTTCGATCTCACCTTCCCTCTCTCCCCTTCCCTTCCCAGACACGCAACAAGCGCGGAGGAGCCGGAGGAAGGGGGAATGCAAAAAAGATGAAACCACCTCACCTCGAAAACTACCGGCTCGGTGCCGAATAACCTTTAGATACAGATACGGACAGTACTCGACTGGCCTGGGGGAGGAGGGAGGGGGGGGTGGGAGAGTGCGTACGTGTGTTGTCGTAGTGGTAGTCGTAGTCGTTGTTGTTACAATGTGCTCCATACTGAGGATGCCGATGAGACATGCCGATGGTCCCGTAGTTGATAGTTGTAACTGCAACTGTAACTGTAACTGTACGTATTGATAAGATGCTTGCTGGTGATTGTGCTATAGGTGATGACTGAGCAGGTGCAAATCTGGATTGATCTAGTAGGTTCAAGGCTTCGAATCTAGTATGTATCCACATAATTATAATATGATGGACTGTTATCATGTATTTACCTCATCTCATGTTCTTGTCCATTTTATCCTATCCACCTTGTTCTGTTCACAGAAACTACGCCTCGCTCGCCAAAAGCCAAGATATATACATATATCCAAGCGAAGAGATGGAACACAGGGCACGCGCAGGGCAAGCCGAAGGAGGCGTACAAGATGGCTTTTTGTGTAAAGTGCTTTAGTAGCCACTCTGTATGTACTCTATCTATACATCCATACGAACGGCACGGTGAAACGAGAGATGTGGGGGACCACATTGCACTATTACATACCAGCTGATTTGGATCCACCGCCTTTTTAATTTCTGATCCTCCCTCCAAATCACATTATTATCCTTCATCTTGCACACACGGTCCATACGTATGGAGTTTTGTGTGTAAGTACCGTATGGAAACAGCACTACATAATCCCACTGCATATCTTAGGAATCATGAGCAATTTGCCCTCGGCCTACCTGCTACTCACTCTACCAGTGTGACACATGAAGCAAGCTCTGTGTACCCAACCCGCGGCCATGTAGAGTAGCATCGATTGTCCCATAAGATGTAACCCACAGGATCGAAACCAACCACGCACATGTGCGCCAGAAAAGTTTAAAACTCCTCCCCCGTATCACCCAACGCAGGAAAAATAAGCTTACAGCCCGCGTGCAACAGTATTGGAGTTTAAGAAAGATCTGTCAAAATCGTTATAAAAAGATATATATATAAAGCGTAAGCACGATATGCTTAAAAACGTAACCTATACTCCAGCCCCAGGTACGAGACCAAGGAGACAAAAGTAAAGAAAGGAACCAAAAAAGAAGACTTCGGAGAATTCCAGTATATGACTAGCTTGGCAGGTCCTAGGGCTGCTGGTTGTGTGATCTTCCTACTTTCGGTAATCTCTGACGACTTCAGCTTCCTCATGCCAGTCCGAGAAGCTGAATCAGACATATTCTAGCCTAAAAGCGGCGAGTCCAAGAGTGTGCAATGAGAGGCAGAGAACTCAGGAAGGAGAGGGAAGGTCGACAGAAAGCCAGAGACATATCATACATATGCATACTTTGCATACCGATGGACGGCGCAACCTTATTAATCTTTGCAAAAGGGCCGAGCAGAAAGGATCGATCTACAAAACCCAGTCCACGTCCAAAACTCTAACTCAGCGAATCTTATTCCTAAACTTCACATAGCCGAACGATGTACGGATAAAGGACCGAGTTAATGCATATGTGGTATGTATCAGTCAGTATCATACATCCACTACTTACCTATCATAATCATGCAATGTTAAAGCTTGATCCTAGTGAGCGAGTTACTAGTAATTGAGTAAGTGCTTGAGTGGTTGAGACGTTTTATTCTTAAAGATACTGTCCATGCCGAGCCAGACAGATCATTTAATTCTCGCACTATTCGAAATCACACCTGGGGCAAAAATAAAATTGGCTTTCCCTTTGATCTTCTGATGACATCTCATGATCCACCCCCCCCTCCGGCCGGATATAAACACTGCACGGTTTCATCAAATCAATCAACACGAGCGCCAAGAGAGCGGTAATCCCCGGGACCCGGATACGTCAAAGAAACCAAGCTTTTCTACATACCACGGGTCATTCCCTTTTTTTTTTTTTGCCTGCCTTGCCTGCCTAAATCCTGTTGCAGTGCACCGCTTTCCTTAACCTGTTTACTCAACATAAAAGCAACAATTCAAATTTATCCACCGGGACTCGGCGAAATGGAAAATTGCCGCAGAAAAAGCTTGGCCTTGAGCCTTAATTATTAGGTTAAACCCACCTGCTGCTGCTGCCAACGCACTACCCTGGTGGTTGGGTTGGAAGGGAGCGACATGAACCCATTCCGGGGGTTTGCTCCGCCCTAAGATCATTGCCAATAGGTAGAGTATCGAGGCAAGGTTTACATATATATCTTACCTGAGCAGGGAATCTAGACTCTGGTCAGTTGAAACATCGAGAGTTCTTCGGGGGTTCTTCGGTGGATGAGGTCTTCATTTACTCGGATTTCGTCAGGAGTCATCGTCAAAATATAATTTAGAATAGGAGGGAAGGGAGATGGACAGATGCGGAGAATACATACACATAGTTTTTTGATCTAGATCGGAAAGCACAGGCGAAGGATCGCGGAAGCCCTTGGTAAAATAACGAGATAAGAATCTTGATTAAGAGCCTCGTGCCATGGTCTCACGGTGCAGCCGGGTTAAAGCTTTGTTTTTCAGCTCATTCCGCGATAGTTGTTATTGACTGGCAACCATTTCAAATACTCGTTTTCGCGTGGCGTCTTTGTGGGCCGTCCTCATCGGTCCTGTGTCCAGTGGAAACTATTCGTACGACGAGAGAGCCCGTTTCAGCATCTTTTCTTCAGTCGATTTGCTTCTTGCATCATATGTACTTAAGGTTCATGCATGTGTAACCCCACAGAAATGCTTGGATGCTGAGTTTAATTATTCTAACACAGCATGCATCATAGAAGCCAAGCTGGGGTTTGTAAAGCCTGGTACATTCATAGCAGAAGTTGGCATTGTAATAAGACCAAGTAATCTATTTCATGACTACATGTGTACCTACTACCTACTCTTGTCTCTAGGTACTCTAGTCTCTAGTCATAGTGAGCCAAATGAAAATATGACTGCGCTGCTCTGCCAAGTCTTTTTTTGATTTTTCCAAGAGTTACTATTTTAATCCACCTGCCAATGATTTTCCTCCATAAAATCCTCGGCGACTTGGAGCAAAAAGATGTCGCGCACGTGTAGGATTAAGCCACGGAAAGCCTTCGGTCCGAAACAACATGCCGAGATCGGGGCAACTGCAACAGGTGACGTATACGTATATATGCATCCAACGGTGGCTCTTCCGCTGTCTTGGTTGATCTTGGTACTAGAGGGGAGCAGAGAGAGCGCACGAGTGAGCTGTTGCACTCAACCCAGTATCTACAACCTACGATAAGATACGGTCAGCATCAGCATTAATAATTATTAGAAGTGGAGCTTGGTAGCTAAAAGGTTTACACATATTAATTGGCAACATGGAGCGTACGGGTGGAACGGCGCGGTTGAATTGAACAAACTCACAAGAACCCTGATCACTCAGTTCATACTCGCAAAATTGTGACCGGTTTGAGGAATTTCCTGGCCCGTTTGAAAGAAGCATGCATATACATACTCAGGTATGTAATGCGTCTCGAGACTGTGTTTAGGCATTAGTAGTTACCGTAGTATGCCTCGCCGGATCGGAGTTTATATTTCTACCGTGCGCTGAAGAAATTTTATGGCCGAGTTCCCGGAGGAAGAACGACAGCGAAAATAAGGTAAGCAGGGTTTGGGTTTTCCATCGCCTTCTTCTCCAATGCCAAGTAAACTCTATCACAACGTACGTCCTCGTCAACAAAAATAAATGACGCTCCAAGGGACGGAAAACCAGGTTCCGTGATAAATGCCTCTACCCGGAAAGAAAATTATCTAGCAACCGACAAGGTTATTCCAAGAGCGTTTTTCGGGGGGTAACTACTTTTCCGGTACATATTGAACTTAATAATCATGTCACGCTAGCCAGAGAGCTCGTATTCTAAGAGATATACATAGAGTCCGAGTGTGGACTGAACGTGATGAATTGACGAGTTTAATCAAAACGGATGGTGATGATGACTGGATATATAGTTATTTTTCCATTGTAGCTAGTTGTCCCATGGTTGTTGCAATGGTGTCCACTTCAGTGTTGGTTAGGGTGACCAGCTGATTCACCACAGCTAATTATAAATTTATAAACGTTGTCCTTCAGATCGCAAAGTATCTTTAACACGAGATTCGATATAGCCAGAGTTTCCCTCAATACATAAGTTAACCGCTTTAAACCAATAAATGGTCGAAGTAGATGAAGTAACTACAGTAGCATAGTAATATAGACCCGTGTGGGTCATGAATTTCCAGATTAGTGTAATACTAGAGCGGTATTGAGTCACTTCAGATAGTAATAATCAAATGTGCCTTTTTTTTTACATCCTCCACAAAAGGTTTTCTGTACTTTATTACCAACCGGAATCTTTCAGAGGAGTTGATATGATCATCGTAATTAATTAAATAACGTTCCGTGTGGGCGGGTACCGAAGGGGGAGGATTGTCCCTTTTTTCTGGGGGGCAGCTTGAAAAATAGTTGTTATATTATGTTAGTATTATGTTCACTATCATTATGCATATCGCCATCTGTCCTAGATCCGGAAGGTTTAGGTATAGACTATGCCGTCATATTCAGTCTTATTACTAGGATTTTTTTTTTTTGTTTAATTCATACTCGCATGCAGACCGTAGTCTATGGCGGCAGTCTTATTACTAGGTGAATTGTTTAGCTAAACAGCATCATCTATGTGCGAAATTCGTCTTGTCCTGCAGCTGGTCTTTGAATATAGGAGACTAGTGGTCGCCCCAATGCTACCGCGTTAGGAGGCAGGTACATCTAGCTAATGGTGTATATATATATCTTTAGAAATATCGGTACAGGATAAACACAATTTAATATGTCAACCCAGCTTCTTTGCCTTCTTTTATATATAGTTACACCTATGTACTCAGTACCAAATTCATCTTCCCCCATAGAATGTGTTGCAAGCTCGTTTGTTGATGATTATGCTCTAATCAGAAATTTCGTATTTCTTTAATGGGAATTTCCAAGGCTTAGGGATGGATGCTCTTTGACAGGACAAGTCTCTTTATCGTACATGTATAAGCCCGCTACATATTAACCCCACCGTCTAAGCAGGTTCCGGGTCTTCCTTCCATATCTAGACCAAATAGCAGCCATCATTTGCGAAAATAATCACATCTTGACATTTATATTATAGGTGATACTCTCTGATCTTGATGTGAATTCCAGGAAAACAATTGACGACTATTCCCTCTACTCCAGTGGGGTAAGTCCATATCATTGATAGTAGCCTATGCGATCATTACTGACGCAAACAATTTCCAGAGAGAGCACCACAACATCCCTAAAATCCAATGTACAGCGGTAGGTAATAAGTGATGGAACGGCCTGAGACACAGTGATACCTGTTTTAGGTGAAACGCCACCAACATACGGTGTTTGCGGGTATAACTGTACCTCATGGCGTTCCATCACTTATTACCTACCGCTGTAGTTATTGTCCGGTATATATATGTACGTACGTATCCATTTAGCCCAGATCAGTTTTACTGTACAACCATTTCGATGCATTGAAAGACACCGTGTACGTTGTTCTTTCAGTGGTTTATAGGTTAGTTGTTCAAATCGGCCCGGTCAAGTACCTAGTTACATGTAGTTTCCATCAGAGCATACGGTTTGGTAATGATTGATTTTACGATATACATGTCCTATACTAAAATCCACCAGGCTTTGATTATATATTACAACTTCAGTCAACATACGATTAAGGTATATATAATGAGACAACACACTCGAGCTTGTTGTATATATCGAGATAGTAAAAGGTGACTTGGGCCTAGATGTGGCTATGCAAGGCCGGGCTGCTCACACATGATCATGAATGCTAGCTATCCCTTCGTCTGTCAAAAAGTACTGCCCACCCTAAGATTGGTGCCAAAGTGTGCACGTGTATTTACTTACAAATCTCATTATCTTTCTTATCAATTACTTGATCTTTCATGATCACCAAAATTGCGGCCCTCTATCATAGGGTAGGTATGAGCATCGACAGACGAATTAAGGGATATCCTTTTCATTTAGTCAAATTCTAGCCATTGATCATTTGGCAATTGTTATTGACCCAATATATAGGGCTGAATTGTTGTCTCCCTGAAATAAACAATTAGGGTATATAATATAAGAGCAAAGCACTAAACTACCCTCCACAGCTAGCTACGCTTGGGTTTACAATGCCCTCGAAGGTTTAAAATACCCCCGATGGCAACGCAACGAACTGTGATTGATTGATTGATTACTTCATTACTTGTATGCAACGAACTGTGAGAAAAAAAGGCTACATTTGAGATTGTCGATTTCTTCAGGCGTTATGGGATAAACCCACATGAAAAACGGATACGAGAGGTTCAAAGACAGTACTAACATAACCACATATCCAGCGGGAAGTGTACTAACAAATACAGTTCAAAATTCTAAAGTCCTCTCTTTCACTCTCACTATAAACTAATGTTCACGTTATGCACAACCTGGACATGCTATTCGCACTTGTAGCTAGTTCACCACTAAATACATCTTTCCTTTTTCTCGCAGTTTGTTGGTTGCCGTCGGGGGTATTTTAAATCCTCAAGGGCATTGTAAACCCAGGCGCAACCGTGGAGGGCAGTTCAGTACTTTACTCGTAATATAATCATTCTGCTTCCATAGTATTTGGCCACACGTGAACCTTTACAGCGCTGCGATTCTCAAACGCTTAATCCATTGCATGCTCGTTTAAGTAAACTATTTCAAAGTTTAACACAAGATCCCTCTTCAGAAAAAATAGTTTTCCACATAGCAGGCAAATCAATCCAGGGTTTTCGGATTCATAAGGTTACTGTTACTGTTACACAGTGTGATCCACAGGGACGCTCGAGGCGAGGTTTTCGAACCGTCCTCGAGGTACCTCGTTCTTGTTAGCTCTTGTCCTTCACGCGCATATCTATCCTCGAGGCTCCTAGTGGCTAGTTATATTACTCCCTCTGAGTACGATTGACCTGTGTGCTGCGTGCTCTATATAATATATATATAATTACAATAACATCAATCGTTATATACTTAGCGGCGGTTTGGGATTTTTTATAAGCACATATTAAACCTTATTTAACCCTTATACAGACCATAGGTTTATAAGGACCTCTTTGGCATATAAGCTCTTTTTTAAGGCAGTTTTAAGGCTTACTTAATACTTAAAACACGCTTAAATCACACTTATTATAGTGAGTAAGGCTCTTATAATCCTATGGTGTACTAAGGTTTATATGAGGGCTTATAAAAATACCCGCTCGGGCGGTAAAGTATATAGTAATCATATTTGAGATATGATCCTCCTATATATAGACCATATTATAATACCATCATTGTCCTCGAGGCAAGAACACATACTGTCCTCCATGAACTTCGTACTTGTAGACCACTGGCCTTGGGTGTCATCGAGGCCATGTCCTCGAGGCAAGGACACAATTAACTAGGATGCTCGCCTTCGTAAATTACAGTCAACGAGTCGTCGAATTCTGCTACTGGCTCGAGCTGCTCGTCCATTTAGGAGGCCTTAATTCCCCGCTCGACTCGTGAGATCACCTCTACTTGTGACTAAACTCGATCGAGCTTTCCAATATTGTAAATATGTTTAATGCTTTAATAAATATAAGGTAGTGTGTTGATAGTATTCTTTGTGAAAATAGATTCTAGTTAAGCTAGCGGCCTCTCTAGTAGGTCGGGAAATGAATCAAACGATGCCTTTCCCTGCAAAGGAAATTTGGGAAACGAATCGTTTGATTCGTTTCTCGAGGGGATCGGTTGGAAATGGGACGGGGGATGCATTTCCAGGGCCGTTTGATGCATTTCCATGATGCATTAATCCGGACTTAGTGAAATTGAATGAAATTCCGAAGAAATCGCATGAGTTCAGTCTATAGAAGCACAGGTAGGTAAGAACTATAATTATTCATAGCTCAAGTGATAGATTCTAGGTTTTGTTAGCTGAATAACCTAGGTTCAGTTCCTCTATTTTTCGTTTTTTTTACACCAAGTAGTACCACATATGGCTACCACTTTTGGCAATAGGAGACGGTTTTTGTGTCAAGAAACTTGTCAAGAAACTGGTCAAGAAACTCGTCCAACGAGACTTATGATTCATTTCTCGGATGCCTTTCTACAGGTAAATCGGATTCATTTCTTGGGGACATGGCCTACGGCTCAGATGGTCACTTTCCCGGCACACATTTCCCACACAAACGTTACGTGGTAAAAACGATTCATTACCCGATTCGTTACCCAGCGCTACTAGAGCCTTTAAACTGTGCTCAAATTCTACATTACTAGAAAGCTCCGCTCGCGATCGACACCTCCTAGTACTCGACATTACTCGAGAATGAAGCTCGGACTGTGAACTCGAGCGGACTCAACTGATCGTTGACTACACGTACACTAAAAAAAAAAAAAAAAAAAAAAAAAAACAGTTGTGATATATTATGTACTCATTAAAATTATTTTTCATCATGGAATATCACTCGTGTGCATATATTAGGGTCAACTCGGAGCGTAATGACCTCAAAAATTTCCACTATCGGTAGGTTCCACCTATCATAGGGAGGGATCGCGCTGGGTGAGCTACAGTCATCTCGATCTATCCGCTTGACCACTCAGCTACCCCTTAGATGCATCAACCCAAACTGCAGGGTCGCTGCCAAGAGCCTGGGCAAATTGCCATTCCTTATCAGGGGGTCTTGTGACGATATTCAGCTCAATGAGCAAGTGGAGGGTCAACCGTACACTACAGAGATTAGGTTTTGCTGTATTACTCATCGATCGGGGAAAACCAAGTTACATCTTGGCCTACAGAACTGGATAACTACATGTAATCATCTCGTAGTTGCATGTCCAGACCTGATCTCAGCACACTGGTAGTCCCGGAAAATGAGTACGAAGCACGGTCCGCCAGGATAGATAACTACATACAGTCGCAACTCGATATTCCGGATTGCCAAGGTTCTAAAGATTTCGTACGGTAGGAAAAATAATATTCTCAGAGGATCTCGTACGGGACAGCGAGGGATCCGGTGCATTGAGTTCTGGCATACCGAGTTCCGACTGTAGATAGCGGATGTCAGAGAGGCGCACATGTGACATTAACCAGTGCCCTGGGAATATATTAATACTACTTACACAGACTGTGACAGACATAGTCTCGGCCGGTATTAAGGTCGTTCTGTGGCCTAGCTTTTGTCTGATCTTAATTGTGCTATGGCCGGCTGTCTCAATTGAAATTGGCGATTGAGCGACGATCTGCATCTATGTACTTTCCTCCGCACGGTCTTTCCATTCTTCTAGACGCACTAAAAATTCTCCTTTTCAAGAAGCGTGAGAATGAACATGCAACGAAATCTATTTTCAAAAGTTCTAGCAATCGCATCTCCCAACCCATCTGGGAAAGGTAACCGTTTCTCTGATATTGTCAACCCCAGCCAAATAACACAGCAGTCTATCAAATCCCATCCCAAAGCCACCATGCTCAGTAGAGCCCCATTTCCGTAGTTCTGCATACCACCTGAGATTCCCCAATTCATCCTCGTTGTCAGGAATAAGGTCCAGCTTCTTCATGGCGCCTACAAGTTCCTCATATCGGTGTTCTCTCAGAGAGCCCCCGACGAGCTCTCCTACAACAGGAAGCAGGAGATCAAAGCAGGCTACTGTCTCTCTCCCCTCTTGTGTCTCCCCGGGAGAAGGCAGCATATAGAAAGGTTTTAGCTCGCGGGGATAGTCTGTGACAAATACCGGGCCGCCCTTCCCGCCGCCCCCAAGTGTCTGAGCCAAAAACCTTTCATGCTCGGCTTGTAGCCCCGCACCCCATGTCGGAGAAAATACAAACTTGACTTCACCGCGGTTTACAGCGGCTTGGAGTTCGTCAACTGCTTCAGTGTAGGTGATACGTGACCATTCATTCTCGAGTAGACCCTTCCAGCGCTCCTCAATTTCAGCGGCCTTTTCACCGGCCGTAGAGAGGGTTTCGGCGCCCACACGCGAGTTTGAGATCCCTCTAACGAGATCCTTCGTCATATCTTCGACTGTGTTCAGAAGTGGCTCCAAAGAGTCTATGAATGAGGTTTCAACCTCCAGCATGTAGAACTCGCTCAGATGCCTAGCTGTATCCGACTTCTCCGCCCTGAACGTCGGCGACAATGTCCACACTCTCGGCAGCGCTGCCGCCAGGGCCTCCAAATGAAGCTGGCTAGACACTGTCAAGTATTTTGGGTCTCTGAAGAAGTGTGCAGCCTTGTTTTCATTGGTCGCGGCAGCATTAGAGGAGACTGTGAAAACCTCGCCGGCACCTTCAGCGTCAGAGGAGGTGATGATTGGAGGATGACATTGGACGAATTCGTGGGAGGAGAAGAAGGCTGTGAGCCGGGATATCATGTAAGAACGGAGTTGGAGGAGGTTGCTGTTGCTGGGAATACGGGAGCGGAGATGAGGTAATGATCGTAGGTATTCTGCAGTTTGGTACTTCTTTTGAAGAGGGTATGTCTAGAGTTTGATATTGCATCTTAGCCTGAGCTGTTACAGCAGGAGCCCCCCCCCCCCCCAAATTTTACTTGCGAGGAAACAAAGTTTCAACCCAGTAATTTTTTCACTTTAGAGATACAGAGAATTTCTTATTTCGAAACTTGTTCTCATTGTGAATATCAAAGTGAGTGGGGGTGGGTGGTTCAATGTGGGGCACGAGTAATGGTAAAAGATCATTGAGTATATAGGGGAGGGGATGTTTTACTTCAGGATCTGCTTCTCCAATTATTTTTACTTCTTGGGCCAGTAGTTCTCTTGCTTGTTTCCCGCCAGCAATAGATTCCTTCCATTCTCCCGTAATCTTGACGCTTGCCCCGGTTGCGAGGCTAGATACATAGACCACGCTTAAGGTCAACCTTCATGTTCTTCTGTAGCCGACGACTACATAGATGATCCCAGATTCTAGACCAAAACATAAGGCGAGGAGAGAGAATGGAGAATAAGGGGTGTAGAAGTGTAGAAATAGAGAAATGTACAAAAATGGAAATTAAGAACCTACCCCTCACTCTGTTCCTTCGTCAAGACCGCCTGCAAAGGCACCGTAGTCGAGCCATCAGCTATATGTGCAAAAGACACATTTTTCATGCGTCTAACTGAACGGATCCAACCATGTACCGTTACCACTGGCGGAGCCATCTCCTCCTCCTCATTGACGACGGTGCTGTTTTTGGCCCCTCCGAGATCGACATGGATATTTGAGATTCCACTGAGAAGAGAAACGATGGTTCGCGGTAGAGGCGTTGACTTGGAAGACACCCACCTACGCGGGGCAACGGCACCAAGTCTAGAAGCTAATGATTGTCGCAGGAGCAGGGACTGGTGGGGTAAAACCATGGTGGTGGTGATAATTAGTTTCATTGAGCCTCTGGCTGGCTGTAAAAATTACTGGAGTTCGCTTTTAGCTGAAGCCAAGCTTTTTCAATAGGGCCAGAGCGGTAAGCACAGACCACTCGTTTGGAGCCCTGTCTCCTCCTCACCTCTGATCCCCCCTAAACCCTTGCCTCCACTGGTGTCTCACCTCCGTCTTAGAAAAAACAGCATACGCAGGGTAGTAATCAACCTCACGATCATCATAATGGCCTGTCTAAAGTCCTCATGGCCAGCGGAGAATTCTAGCCTTGCCTGCGTAGCCCGGGTCTTTGCACGACGGCGATCACAGCATTCCAAATCACATACGGCCAGGTTTTTTCTCATCCCATGGCGCGGCGGATGTTTGATCGGCCCTTTTGACGTCTACGGATGTATGCACCAAAACATCACATCGGGGTGGGGCGATGGTCGCGGAAGCGCCAGGTACACTTTTATCGGCCTCAGTTCTTGATGCCGAGACGCTGCTGCCGACTTGATTCAGGTGAGCGGACGGAACCCGAGCCTAAATAGAATCTGTGAATTACAACTCCGCGGAGCTTAATATTCATGTCTCGCTGGTGGTTTGGAGCATTTGTTTGAAGGCTAGCCCCGGAGCCCAGATCTAGACGCCTTCACAGGGGTATGGTGTACACAGGGCATGGTGCTTCCCTTGATTGCAAGAAGGAATCGACGAAATTAAGAAAGTCAAGACAGTAGAAGTCTTTATTTGATACAATCGTATCTATATGCTTTATTTGGTGATATTCTTCATATATTCTTCCCTCATTTTTTGACGATCTTAGTTGTTGCACCATACACCCCCGTGAGCACTATCCCAGTGGAAGCGTCTAGAGTAATCACTACGCATACCTACCGCAGGTACCAATACCTGACTACTACATGCATTCAGGAGCCTGGAAATGGCCTGTGTACGTATGTAGGCGTATAGGCGTGTACCTATGCATGTATGTAATCATAAAGGTCCCACGAGAGAGTCAAGATGTACATGTATGTATGTACTACTGGCTCATACCATCCACGAAATTGCAATACCAATCAACATTAGTTGTAGTTGTCAACCCGACTTGTGCTCCTCCGGCTCCGTTGATGTGTAGTCTAGACACGCAAAAACCTGAACTCCTTATGGTAAAAACGAAATATTCAGCTGTTGAAAATCTGTCTGGCTGATTCTGATTGCTATAACTCCCGAGATATCATTAGGATCGAAAGGTCCTAATTAAAATCAGCCTACCAGAAAATTATACAACAGCCCAAGTGAAAATAATTAAGGCAAGCTAAACTGGTGTTCTCATCCTCATCCCCCATCTCTTTCCTTTTGGCGGGAAGGGTAGGGTAGTAGCAGTAGATCTGTGTAATGCACCCCGCCAGTCAAATGCAACTTATCTCCCTGCTGCCCTGGAAGAAGGACGTAGGTGATCGACTGCAACACTGCAGAGTGTACGGGTAGTTACATACTTAGGCTTATCTGTAGACTCTAGTTGCATAAGACTTTCGATCGGCGAGGTACTGATCACGGCTATCAGGAACAAAATCGAGGGCCATCATAAAACTCTCCCTAGATTGATTCGAATCCGGTGTGGTGGTGATCCACCCGTGAAACTGTCTGAGGTGTAATTGTGCTAGTAGTGTTAATTAGCGTTAGTGGTGTAATTATGGTAATGATGTTAGTGATAGTCTACTCTATAAGCTGGTTAGTGGCTGTGACCAGTATCACAATTGCACTTAGCAAGTATTTGTCAAGGGATACGTACTTTTATGTACTGATCCTACGAACCTGGAAGCTTGAGCAAGTAGTAAAGCTAGTGAGACCACCTAATTATGTGCAGAATAAACCATGGCCATTCATCCTAAAAAAAAAAAAAAAGGAAAGGAAAGGATGACATGACTTCGAATGGAGATCGAATTTCCCTCAACTCAAAGCCAAGTAGTTGTATAGGAAAATCTGGAACATTTGTTTCGCTTGTCGACCACTTTCCAAACTATGTTTTTCAAATTTCTAGGTTTACGTACGGGAAGAGGCATACAGATCGATCTATGTTTATTCTTCTGCATAGAGACCCCGGGTATCGATGTAACAACTACTCGGTTGGAATATGTTCGTTGAAACCTTTAGTGGTATGTAGTGAAGAGAGCCTCAATATTGCCGTTGGTGTTAGCTTGTCTAACTGCAAGGGACCAAGTTAATCAATATTTCAATGAACAAGTGTCACGGTAGCTACATACAGCAATAGATTCATATATCGATTACCCATAACCTACGGTCTGGGTCCATGGATTAACAAGTTTGTAAGGAAACAGGAACAACCCCCCCTCCCCCTTACGTTTTTTGCATGTGGGGTTCTGGTTGACCTTTTTACCATGGTTTTAGCTGGTAGTATACTAGCTAATGGCTCGAGCTGGCTAGGCCAGCCATACAATGCAGCTGATCCAGGAAAGCCAAAAGAAAACAATCGATGGACTTCATTGAGTGAACCACCCCCCCCCTCTCTCTCTCACTCCCCTCAACCCCCCCCCCCCCCCCCCCACAGCTACCCCCTACTGGGATATAAATTAGGACAGAGAGCCAGCCTTAGGATCCATTGGACAGAGACAAGATTCCATCCAACATTGAAGCCTACCCACATTTACACCCTATCAACCGGCACTTAGTACGTCTACTTATATACATACAACCATTAGCGGTTGTAACTTCATATAAATAAATCTACCTTTTTGTGCTAGCTAGCTTTTCATACGACAATTGAAAAGCTATCCTCATAGCTAGCTAGCTACATATCGGCTTTATCAGGCAGATATCATATATACACTGATATATAAGTATATATTATATCTCATACTCATTGAGTATCCTAAACGATGCCGACAAACCGCCAACGTGCTATTATAGCATCGGCCGAAACAAAGGCTCTACTTCCCGAGGTTCCTCAACGGAGTGGCACAATTCCTACGTCCTATTCATACCCTTACACTGAACCTCTTCCACCGCTGCCACCAAATCTTCGCCAACGGACACTTCGAACTGCCGTGATAGAGGACCTCGAGCCTCTCGATGTCGCCATACACTGGCAAAATTACTCCTTCTCCAAGGACGACCCTACTGGTGCATTTCCCTTTGGCGGCGGCGATTACGTATCCCCGTCGTCCGCCCCTTGCGGGCATCGTGCGCCTCCAGTGCACTTCAAGCCGATGATAGAGGGCGGGCAGACAAATCGAGTTCTCGTACTCAACACTGCTAACGAGAAGAAAGCCGGAGGCGAGTGGGATGGTGGTATCCTGACCCTTGAGGAAGGGTTCGCACGTCGGTCGAATCTTGTTCAGGCACTGAACAGCACGGACCCACGCACGCCGGCCGTGCAGACATACTATCCGCTACCTCAAACTGGGGCCGTGTACTCCCCCAGTGTGGTGGTGTTTCGTGAAGGCTTCAAGGGTGGCTACACCATCTGGGGGGATGATGAATGGAAAGTGGTCTCAGTGGTATCGGCGCCACCGGTGAGGCGACCAAAAACCGATGAAACCGGGATGAAATATTCATTTGACGAGGAGAAAAACCTCCAGCGAGATAAGATGAAATCAGTCCTGAGGGTGGCGGCACTCAATGGACACACCAATCTTGTTCTGGGTGGATTTGGGAGCTGTGGTCCGGAGGGAAGTGGTAGCGGAGTCTACAGGAATCCCGTTAGGGATGTCTGTCTACTGTGGAAGGAGCTCTTAGAGAGCGATGAGTTCGATGGGTGGTTTGCAAACATCGTCTTTGCACTGGCTGGGGATAGTGGGGGCAGTTGGGCCACAGAGGACAAAGACTGCGCCAAAGAGTTTAATGCTTTCTTCGGTCCCGGTTAAGCAACTACAGTCGATGATGTCTAATCCAGTGTAACTGGATACTTCTATTTTTCAGGTAAAGTATAAACTATGATGCGACAGTTGGCAGTATTTTTAAAGGGTTTTCGTTACTAGAAGGAGGCCAGAGGTTTGTCTGGATT